GGGCCGGCCCTCCAGGTGTCTTTTCTAACCAGAGTTTACTTTTCTGAAAAGCTTACACCTGGGGAGACCTGACTCGGGCTCTGCCTGGCTGGTGAGTGGCAGCTGCATGGCAGTGTGCTTCTCTGTAGAGCAAGCCAGCGTAGTACCCAGACTTGCTCCAGCAGGACAGGAGGGAATCTGGGTGTGTCACCTCTGCTGGTAGCCATGCCCAAGAGTGACTCCTTGCCCAGACAAATAACTTGAGGCCCAAGTCAGAACAGACACCCGCTGCTCTTGCAGACTGGTCCATTCCCAGTTAACCTGAGTGTCATGCAAATGCATATGCATAGGAAAGGAAAGGGGAGGGGTGGGCTTGGAGGAAACTTGAAATCTAGCATCTGTTCCCACGATGTGCTCCGCCCTGGAAGATAAAGAAAACAGGAGCTAGCTGGGAAAATATCTAATTGGAAACACATGCGCATCCTGTGAATGATTTATCATCAGTCTCAGATGAGGGAAGGAGGCAGTGGGAAGAGAGGAGGGACTGAAGATGAGGGTGTGTCTACCCTGAGGCTGCATTAGGCACAACACTTCCAGGCTCCCCATAAAGCCAAGGTCTGGTTTTCCTTCAGTGTCATCCCCCTCACCTATGGTTTCTCTTGGGTGCATTTTATCTCTGCTGAGGCCAATAAAGGGATGTTTGTCATTTCATTATTTTCCTAATACTCTTCCTTGCCTGCCTTGTACTGTCACTTCCCCATCCCCAGCCTTGAGCATGATCCTCATAACAGTTGTAGTTGATCAAGCCCCAAGTGTTGCAGTAAACTTTGGTTGCCAAAAGAAGCAGCGCTACCCCTCCTGGCTAAGTAGGCCACCTCCCCCAGAGCTCTGGAAATAGGCGTCATGTTGGAGTGCAAACAGTGACTGAACACCTGCCAAAGCCAAACACCTTGCTGGGCACCCAGGATACTGAGCAGAGAGGGCAGCCTCAACCTTGAATCTGGATATGGGGAACAGGCTTATGGAGGGACTTGGCACAAGGATGAAGGGTCTCTGTGGATTTCTGCCTTTGACCACTATTACTGCCCCCGGTATACAGGGTGAGCCCTAGTTATTTAGGCTTATTCTACCTGCGAGTGCTAGAGACATAGTGGCTAAGAGGTGCAGTCAAACCTAAGTGAAAGCCCATCCTCACCAGTTACTGTGTTACCTGAGCAAAATATTTAAGCTCCATGAGCCTATGTGTTCTTGTTGGTAAATGGGGCCTGCCTCGCCCATTTCAGTTCCTTATACCTGCATGTAATCATGCACCATAAGTAGCGGATATGGCAGTGTTGGTGTTTTGGGTTGATCTGCCACAGGTAAGGCAACCAGCCTACCTCCAGTGAGTCCCACAGAGTTGATCTCTGCATGACCATCTTCTGGAAGGAAACTAGTGGGGTTAGTAGTTCAGTCCTCTCTGCCCAGCTGCTGAAAAGCAGATGCCATGGAAATGAGAGATTAGCATTTAATCATCTTGTCTGACAAAAAGCGTCTCCAATTATGACCCCCCCAACCCAGCATGTGCACACAAGCTGCCATCCTCCCTGGGAGGGGCCACTCTCTGCTCCCAGCCTTTGAAGTGGTTTGGGGGGGAAGAACTGCCTTCTTCCTTCCCATCAGCACACACAGCACATGGCATGGAGGAGCGGGATGCACTTCACTGCCCTGCCTGCTTAGCTTTGCACACATTGGAGGAGAAATTGACTAGGGCTCTAATAGCAGCAGGATTTTTCTCCAACTTCTTCTTTATACCTCTTCCCTTAACCTTAATTTTTTTAAAAAAGTGTATGTTTCTGAGAACCAATATGTGTCCTCTGTCATTTTATAACTGTTGTTTGGACACGGACTGATCATGAGAGGTCTAGTTCCTCTCGGAAAGGAGCTGCTGGGACCTTCTGGTGCTATAAATGACACAGAGTTGACCTGCCGTCCTCCCCTCTTGCTGCTTTTCTTCAGTGAGGCAGGCACAGCGGGCAGCATCTGTTGTGATACCTGCAGCTGTTCCACATGAGCAAGACCCAGCTCTTCAGCAAACAGGGATTCTAATGCTACAGACAGCAGATGCTTCCAGGCTGGGGGTTGATAGAAGTTCCTGTGATGCACAAGGATGTTAACAGTAATGAACTTCAAAATGTTAGCCGGAGGCCTAGGGTCTGTGTCACTGGTATACTCGAAGATAGTCTGCTTTTCAACTGTAGCTCTGCTCTCAGCTTCTTTAATTAATGCCTCGTTGCTGAAGGGCAGGACAAAGTCCAAGGTTCGTAGTTTGACATGGTCTTCCCCGCTCTGGCCCCGCTTGCTCCTCTGGCCCCATTCCCTCCCACTCTGTCCCCCAGGTCCCAGCACACAACGGCTCTTTTTTTCCTCTGTGCTTTTAACAGGCATTCCCTCTGTACGGCACTCTCTGTCCACTGCTCAGATTCCTATTCAGCATGCCGGATCTTGCGCTGGTGTCTCTTTTATTTGGAATCCCCCTGACCATCCCACCAACCTTCAAGATTATCATTTTTTTCTGTGAATTACTTCTGAGCTTCTCATATTCTATCAATACACACGTGCTTTTAACAGGCATTCCCTCTGTACGGCACTCTCTGTCCACTGCTCAGATTCCTATTCATCATGCCGGATCTTGCGCTGGTGTCTCTTTTATTTGGAATCCCCCTGACCCTCCCACCAACCTTCAAGATTATCATTTTTTTCTGTGAATTACTTCTGAGCTTCTCATATTCTATCAATACACATGTAACCTAGATGTCATAGGGCTCAGCCAGCCCCGCACTCTCTAGGTAAGACGAAGTGTTGTAGCTCTACCCCTTCTTCAGTGTGTAGGAAGTCCAACAACCTCCCATGAGTGCTCAGGTATCTGAAGTTCTGATGGTCACCTTTGGCTTGGAAACCCTGCATTTGAAATTCAGCCTGAATTAATTCAGTTTGTGGATCTACTCAGCATCCTCAGCAATGTTTTGGTTCCCTTGTAGGTGAGTCCAGACTTAGTCTTTTTTCTTATTTTCCACTCACTACATTCATTTGTGGCCTTTGTATGCTTGAGGTGGGTTTTGCTGAAAATTTCAGACAAATGGAAGGGGCTTACTTTGGAGCAAGCAACAGTCTAAAACCATTTACAAAAGAGAATTCAAGTTTTAAACTACAGTGTCAACATAGATTCTGTCTGAAACATGGAAAAAGTTACTTGGTCTCCACCCAGTTTTCTGATTTGATCAAGGCAGGGGAGCTGTCCTGACTAGGGTGTAGTGGCAATGGTGGTGGAGGGTGGGCATGAGCTGGCTTGAGCTGCGTGGTGGCTTTTGGTGGCTGTGTGCCAACCATTCTATATTGGCCATGTCAGCTGTCTCCAAGGCCCTCAAGAACTCCTTCTCCATGTCCCAGAAAACTTGGCACCACCCTGCAGCCTTTAAAAGGATGTGCCATTCCCATTGGAGAAGCACCTGGATCCCTGGCTCAATGAAGACAGTCTGACCATTCCCACCCATAGGAAACTTGGTCCAAACTAGGAATGTTTCACTCCAGACAGTGGGGCCCCCAGATAATTTGAAGGTGCCCCAAGTATAAGATCTTGGTCAGTCACAGATAAATGGATGAAGTAGTTTATCTTCTGGAATATTCCTTAGGGAGACGATGAGCCCTGCTTGCCAAAGCCTGTCTTTCCTCTTTGATCATGTTGATCTGACTCTTGTATGTTGATTTTTGTCCAGCTCTCTTCTGATACTGTAACCTAGACCCATTTATTTTCTTCCTTATTTAACTGGTTCTTTCTTGTACCGTAGCATATTTCCTTTACGATCTTTTCCAGTTCCTTTATGAACCTATGCTCAGCAAAGACGATGAGAAGGGGAACTAACATGCATTTAGTACTTACGATAGGCCAGACATGGCAGTCCCATTTCAATTTACAGCTATCCTATCAGGTGGTTTATTATTATTCCACAATTCAAGGTAAGGAACATGAATCTCAGAAAAGGTATGAGACTGGTTTAATTTGTTGTGTATGGAAAAGCCTGTATTCTATCCATTAAACGACACTGCCTCATGGAAGACCAGATTGCTTGCCTACCTCATCAAGGTTGTAGCTGTCCCAGCCTATGCTTCAATTGCTTGCCTCTGTAATATCCTTGTTCTGTCCTGAAAATCTGGTGAGGTCCAGCCCTGGATCAACATAGTGCGTGCTCTCCAGCACCTATGAAAGGAACACTTCTTTTTCCTCCTTGTTGCTTTTGCTTCCCTGCTCTTTGCAAATTCCCCACCAAAGTAGAATGTGTGACCTGCATTACCCCACCCCACTTAATACCACTGCTGTGACATCATCTTGGAACAAGTCCATAATCCTTTTCCAGGCCTATCTGTGGGCATAAAGATTCCTGCAGACTATAGCTGGGTTAAATAAGTCCAGCCCAAGGGAGCCCCATATCTGCACCTGCAGAAGCTCTGCTGTTCCATGTAAGTACTCAGATAACACCGACTGGAAAGACTTGCAGGAAGCAGAACCAAGAGGTACCAAGATCCCATTGCTGGGGCTCCTTGACCAGTTGTGCTAGCCACATCTAGTCCCTAAACGCAGACACTGGCACTGCTGTTTTTTTCACCCCACTCTGTGCCTGTCTTTGTGGGGTAAATACCCTTTCCAAACAAGATGGAGTAAATTAACAGAGGGACAGTTCCTCCTAATGCAGTGGGAAGTGAGGGCTTAAAGTTCTCACTGCCATCTGTTGGGGGAAGATCTATCCCCCTTTCTTTTCTCCCTGCTCCCAGTCAGGGAATTGGGCCAGCTTCTTACTAACTGTATAAATTTTATAGTCCTCTCACACCAGCTCATGTTCTCTGTTTACTCTACAACCATCTTTCTTGCTAAGCCAACAAGAAAAAGTTAAAAGTGATTGCCTGCTTATATCTAAAATGCTTCCAGACTGCAAACTTCTTTGGTGCTTACAGATTTGCATGGAAAGAGAAGGCTGAAAGCTTTATGAGTTGAAAATTCAGACTTACCACCAGATCTATTGCTATTCAACTGAGGTTCCAGTGGCTTTTAAACATAGCTAAGTGGGTTTTAGCCAAAAGATATAACTAAACATTTCATCATTTATTCATCTTTCAACTTTGATTATTGGAAACAGCCTGCTTAGTAAGTGCTGGAACAAAATTCTGATCTGGGGAGTCTTACTCATAACTCTTTGGGGAATGGGCCATATCTTTAGACACATTACAAAGAAGTCTGTGACTTGATTTCCCAAACCACCCAAAATGAGTTGTTTTATTTAAAGGGAAAGTGTGTGTTTGTCTTTAGGCAAACAGATTCTTGCTGATTTTACAGATACAACGTAAGTAAGATTTTATCCATTTACTGTGCAGAGAAGCTGGGCTTCTGCCTCAGAGTAATGCCTATATAGACAGGTTGTCAGGTGTTGAAGGAAAAATGTATGTCTAGACAAGTGTTTCCAGCCAGGCCTTAACTTTCATTGCAGATGTGTTGGGTTCCGAGTGGTAGCAATTCCCTTTCTTACCATTATAAATTGTGTTCTTTTCTTGATAGTTACATCCCTGGATTAAGGCAAACACTGTTTTCAATAGCTACCAGAAGAGATGCACACACAGGTAAACAGTATGGAGTTAGGCCTTTATGTTCCATGTTTGATAGAATTAGAGATGACATGGCTTAGCCTTATTGAAAAGGAAAAATACCCATCCCAGAGGAAAAGGAAGACAAGCTTTGTATTTTTAATCAGCAAATATATTTATATATTTTTCCTTCAAAATTTATTTCTCTTTGCTCAAAGAAAAACCATTCACATTTTGCTATTGGACTTTGCTGGGGTCATTACTAATCTACATGTTTGTAGTGGTTCTACCAAATCCTTTGACTGGCAAACCTCCACAGGTCCAATGTCTTGGTTGGTTTCTTTTACCTCCTGCATGGTTGCAGTTCCTTCTTCTGAGACACCGCTATTCTCCTGAGACTGAATGCATTACCCTGTTGCTTTTGCATTTTAGACTTCCAGGTCCTACCATGAGGGTATCCGCTGCAGGCAGCGAGGCCAAAACACGTGGAGGGTCAGCCACTGCTAATAACCGACGGAGCCAGAGCTTTAACAACTATGACAAGTCTAAACCAGTCACCTCCCCACCCTTGCCCCCAACGCCAAGCAGCCATGAGAAAGGTGAGTTATCTTCTTCATGGTCCTTTCTGACATCTTCCTTTATAGCAATTCCTTTGGGTGAGTTTGGTTGGGGTTGGGGTTGGAGTTGGAAATAGAATGGTAAGAAAGGTTCACAAGGACATATCTGGCTGGCAGGAACTTTGTTAGCAGAGTTGTTAATAAAGTAGGGGAGATATTGTTATATACATAGTTGCCAACAAGAATTACTGTATCTGTTTGGATGGTGGCCTATAAAATACTTGGCTACAGAGAGAAGCAATATAGCATTTGGAATCTGAAAATAAATTTTCATAGAATTTATGCTGTACACATAGGTGGCTTTCCAGAAATGCAAGCTTCTGGGGCATGCATTTGTGAGCTGATAATCTTTTTACCCATCAGAAATGTGAGGGGAGTTAGGAACAAGGGTGTTTTTACCTTTTGAAAAAATCAGGAATGTGGATTGGCTAAGCAAAGATCTTGGCTGCATATAAGGGGTAGATAGCATTGCTCTTGGGGTTGTGATGATGTAACTTTTGCCACAAAAGGATATGATTTTTTTTTACTATATATATTACTGAGCTTTTAGGATGGAGAAAATGGATGAATAGCATTGCTCTTGGGGTTGTGATGATGTAACTTTTGCCACAAAAGGATATGATTTTTTTTACTATATATATTACTGAGCTTTTAGGATGGAGAAAATGGATGGATAGCTCTGTGGGGGTCTTACATGGAAGATAGTAAAACAAACCTTTGCTTGCTTCAGTCTG